AGAATCATACAAAACCCAGGAGAGGCAAAGAGAGCAAAAGGCCATCAGTGTAATAGAGAGAAATCCGAAATATTTTTTCTCCTATGCAAAATCAAGATCAAAAACCACATCTAGTATCGGGCCCCTGCGAAAGGGAGATGGAACTTTCACCGATGACAACAAAGAAATGAGCGAGCTACTGAGGAAGCAGTACGACTCTGTTTTCAGTGAGCCATTAAATGCACTAAAGATTGATAACCCAAATAAATTTTTCATGGATATGATACCAACCTCAAATCATATATCAGACGTCACCCTATCCCCACTGGATTTTGAAGAAGCCATAAACAGTATGCCTATGCACTCTGCACCAGGCCCGGATTCTTGGAACTCCATATTCATCAAGAACTGTAAAAAAACACTATCGCAGGCCCTTCACATTCTGTGGAGACAAAGCCTACATACTGGCGTTATCCCTGACATACTAAAAACAGCAGAGATTGCACCACTCCATAAAGGAGGAAATAAGGCAGAGGCAAAAAATTACAGACCGATAGCACTAACATCGCACATTATAAAAAATTTGAGAGAGTGCTAAGAAGTAAGATCACAAAATATATGGAATCACAGCATCTCCATAACCCCGGACAACATGGTTTCAGAACAGGGCGCTCTTGCCTGTCGCAGTTGCTGGACCACTATGATATGGCATTAGATGCTATGGAAGACAAACAAAACGCTGATGTAATTTACACAGATTTCGCAAAAGCTTTTGATAAATGTGACCATCGCGTTAATGCACATAAAATGCGTTCAAAAGGAATTACCGGAACAATAGGCAGATGGATCTACAATTTCCTGACCAACAGAACCCAATGTGTAATAGTCAACAAAATAAAATCCAGCCCATCAACCGTGAAGAGCTCAGTCCCCCAGGGTACTGTGCTTGCTCCAGTACTTTTTCTCATCCTCATATCGGGCATAGACAAGAACAAACCTATAGCACTGTATCATCCTTTGCAGATGACACTAGGATCTTCATGAGAGTAGGTAACATAGAGGATACGGCAAACCTCCAATCAGATGTAGATTAGGTCTTTCTATGGGCTACAGAAAATAATATGGTATTTAACGGAGATAAGTTCCAGCTCATGCGCTACAGAAAAAATGAAAATATAAAAACAGAAACCACGTACAAAACTCAGGCAAACCATAACATAGAACGAAAAGGCAATGTAAAGGATCTGGGTGTACTCATGTCGGAAGACCGATGGATAGAAGGTCGATTGATAGGGGGATGGATGAATATGCAGATAGAAAGATAGATGGATAGAGAGATAGACTGAGCAAAATTCAAATATTTACTTGGTTCATTAGGGTAATCAGTTTCCACCTGTGTCCCCTTGTGGAAACCTGTTAAATAATATTTCTCTTTACCCCTGTCAATTCCCTGAGAATTTTACAAGTAATAATCATGTTTCCCCTAACTCTTCTGTCTTCCAGTGAGGTGAGCAGCAATTCATACAGCCATTCCACATAACTCATACCTCGTCGTTCTGGAAGTAGTCGAGTGGCATACCACTGAACCTTCTTCAACTTCATCTTATGCTTGACAGAGTATGGACTCCATTCTGAAGCTGCATATTTCAGGATTGGTCTGACATGTGCTTTACGAGGTTCTAAAGGATTCCTTACACAAATTTCTAAAGGCAATCCTGATGTTAACCAGTCTTGCATACATCACTGATGATATCCGTTTTATGTGGGCTTCAGGAAATAGGTTCGGTGTGATATCAACTCCTAGATGCTTCTCTGTTAGTTTCATAGAGGACTTTGTCTCCCAGTTGGTGCCTTTTGTATGGCTTCTTGCTGCCTCCACTTAGCTCCATTACTTTATATTTCCATGAGTTAAACTCTAGTAGCCATTTGTTGGACCATTCCATCAGTTTGCCCCAGGTCGTCTAGTACCCTCTTGGAATCTTCCTGTGGCAATCCTCATAATTTTTACATCATTAACAGCAATTGATAGGAATGAGTCTATTACCTCCATTAGATTGCATATATATCAAACAGCATAGGTCCAAGGATTGAATCCCTGTGGAACTCTACTAGTGACGTCTCGTCAGTTTGAAACCTTACCCCCTTAGAGTGACTTGCTGTTTTCTGTTGCTTAGGTACTTCTTCGTCAACTGGAGAACCTTCCTTGTAGTTCCTTCCTGCATCTCCCAATTATGTACCAGTTTCTCAAGGGGTACTGTATCAGAGACTTTCCAGCAATACAAAAGTATGCAGCATGCTCAACCTTCTCTTTCTTGCCTTATTGTTGTCACCTGACCATTGAATTCTATTGCAAATTAGGCAAGATTTATCATCCCTGAACCCTTGCTAGTGATGCATTACAAAATTCATTTCCTCTAGATGTTCTATTGATTTGACGATCACAGTTTCTCACAATTTTCTCCATCACCTTGCATGGTATGCAAATAATAATAATAATAATAATAATAATAATAATAATTTTTTTTCACAATAAGGTACAGTGGGTTGTGAGATTACATAAGATTGGAATTTGTACATTGATTCAAAACAACTAACATGCTTAGCATTTTGGGCAGGTCATTAATCTAACATATCATGTAAGAAGAAAAGATACATTGGAGTAAGGTTTTATATCAACAAATAACTACAATATAAATTGACAGAAGTGCTTTCACTGGTCTTTAGTCCTAAGTACTAATATAGGGGAAGTTGGGTAGCACAAGTTACAGTGTGAGTTTGGTGCACAAGGTACAAAACTACAAGGATGAAATTAGGTACTTTTTTGGTTTTACTTTTGAATATGCCATAGGTTGGAAGCGACTCATTCACAATCGACTTGAGAATGATTCAGGACGGACCGAAACGTCGTCGTCCCTTCATTTTCTAGTGTGTGGTCTGGTCAACCATAGGTTGGATTTTTTTTTTATTTGTCAGGGAGTGAGTTCTAAAGACTGGGTCTTTTTATTTGCATGGAGTGTTTTCACTTATTTAGTTCCACTCTGGGAATATAAAAAAATAAATTTTTTCTGGTTTGGTCTCATGGGTTCTATTACACTTATCAAAGAAAAGTTTCAGATCAAGATTATGATTTAGGGACAAGGTTTTGTGCATGTAAATAGCACATGAGAATGTCTGGAGTGAGTGTATGTTTAGTATGTTATGGGACTTAATCAGAGCAGAGGGGCTGTATGTTATCAGAAGACAGAGTTTGTTATTGTTCTGATAGCAGATTTTTGCTGAGTGATGATGGTCTTGGGGTAATTTTCAGTGCTTGAACCCGATGCACAGATACCATATATAAGATAAGGATGGATTAGTGCGTAGTATAATGAGAGGAGAGCAGAGTGGGGAACATAATATCTGATTATAGAAAGTATACCTACCGTTTTTGAGACTTTTTTATTTGTGTTGTATGTGGATGCTGAAGTTCAGTCTCTTGTCTATGTATTGGCCAAGGAACTTTCCCTCATTTTATTGCTAATGGTAACATTGTCTATCTGAAGTTGAATTTAATTTCGGGATTTACTACCAAATAAAATGAAGTAAGTCTTTTCTCTGTTTAGTGTGAATTTGTTGGTTGACATCCGTGAGTGGACTTTGTTTTTTAATTCATTATTAACAATATTATTATGTGTGTGTGGGGTTGGGGTCAGATTAGATGAAGATACTATCGTCAGCAAATGGTATAGGTTTAAGAATGTTAGAAACATTTGGCAAATCATTGATGTTTTTAAGAAATAGGATAAGTCCTAATATGTTGCCTTATGGCACTCCTACTGTTTATAGTTGAGTGGGGTTGGTTATGTTATGGATAGCTACATATTGGTGTCTGTCACTGAGTTAGAAACGAATATAGTTCAGAGCAAGGCCCTGGATACCATATTGGGGAAGTTTAAGTAAAAGGTAGTTATGGTTTACAGTAGTAACAAAGGCCTTTCTCAGGTCAAGTCAATGAAGAGGACAATTTGGATCTCGATTTGGTCAGGGGCTGTGTAGATTATATTAAGCAGACTAATAATGGCATCATTGAGACTGTTTTGGGAACATAAATCAAACTCGCCAGAACTTAATATGTTGAGTTTTACAAAGTAGGAATAGAACTGTTTGTAAAAAAAAAATATATATTTTTGAAAGTATAGGTTGATTTCATATTGGTCTGAAATTATTTATGTCAGTTGTCTCGCTTATTTTATGAACTGTCGTCACTCTTGCTTTTTAAGGATATCATGAAAAGTATGACATTGGAGATTTGTTGAATAGCATAATTATGGGTAGTGGAAGAGCAGGGGCAGCACTATTTTATATCATAGATGGTATTTCATTAATGTTCCCAGCTTTGGTTTTAAGCAATTGAATTATGGATGTAATATCTGACGGGCTGACTAGTAAAAGGACTAGAGATTTTGGGTAGGGTCCTGTTAGATATGTAAAAACACGTGTCTGGGTCTTTGGGATTTTTCTGACAAGGTTAGTACCAATTGATGAAGTTAGGGACATTGGCCTGTAGTTCAATTCCTCCTGTCTGTCTTGCTTCTTGTATATCAGGACAACATTAGCCGTCTTCAAAATTTTTGGCAGTTCTGTTACCAGTAACATGTTGTATACCTTTGAGAGTGGTAGGTGCAGTGCTTCTGCTCCCTCTTTTGGTATCCATGGTAAGATTCCATGTGAGCCTACAGCCTTTGGTCAAACATTTGAGTATGTGCTGTGCAGTGCAAGGGTTAACGTCATTCTGTATGTTTTACACCTCTCCATCTCATTTTATTTACTTGGTTATAGAGGTTGCTTGAAGTGATGAGAAAATTGATTTTTTTTTAAATAATCATCTGGTAATTGAAGACTCAGTTTGTGACATTGTACATAGTATTTTGTTTCATAAATTCTTAAAGCTTTTTCATATATTTTAAAGCACTCAAATTTTGTAAATTGTATAGAAGTTCAATTAATTTTAAATCAAAGTTAATAGAATACCTTATTTTCAGGTCCTTGGTAACCATATTTTCTTGAAGTTTAAAACATCATCATGGCTCAAGTCAATATTGGAATTCTATTTGAAAAGCTTAAAAGCAGATTAAGCAACAAGATGTCTGAAGTGATGACTATAATGAGGCCAGAAAACACAAACGAGGAAATGTTTTCGTATTTGTGGAGCCTGGATGAAGCCCATGCGACTCTAACGCCAGTTCTGCACCCATCAAGCAAGTCAAAAGATGAGTCCTATGTGCACTGTAAACAGGGAGACATAGCCTACCGCCTTCATGATCTAGTTCAGGCATTAAGCTCTTATAATTTGGCCATATTATCTGCGCCACATCCAGACACAATCACAGATAGTCCTAAGAACTCTGGCAAAGACAAGTATGAAGAATTGGCCCAAGCTTATGAGTCACGATCTGTTGTGCTTTATGACCTGAAGCAGTATACAAAATGCTCAGATGACATTGACCGAGCTCTGGAACTTGGCTGTGTACAGTCACGTAGAAAATTATTAGACAGGAAAAGTATTTGTCTGAAATTAATATCAGAGGGTAAAGACAAGGCATTTGATGCTTCAGCTGAAGCTTTAAACACCTTTGAACCATGTTTTGCATATATCAACCGTGAGCCCCCTAAGTTAGCTGACCATAACCCAGCCATACCGTCACTCAGCAGTGCTGTCAAGCTGGCCTACACTCACTCCCAAGGACGTCACCTGATTGCTGATAGAGACATCAACCCAGGTAACTTATTTTATAAGTAATGAGAAAATGTTATAAAGTTTTACAATTTAATTCTTTTCTGTGAAGGGTTCCCGGTGGCTCCCTGACTACCCTTCTGGTTGCTATAGCGTTGCCTGCGCCTTCAGTTACGGTTCTCTTCCATGAGAGGGCTCAGGAGTCTGCCCCTTTGTGTCATCATTCTCTCAAGGGCCTCACTCCAGGTACTGCATGTGCATCAGCTTATCTGTGGGGCCAAGCTGCTGGCGGTAGGCTGTTGTTGCAACCCGTCCTCTTAAAAATAACGTCACTTTTCGCTCGTATGCGCGCTATGGCCAAATTTGGACGTAATTTGAAATGAAATCGACTCACAAAAGTGACGTTTTGTTCCGTTTTCTGTTTGAGTCGTTGGGCTTACTCGGCAAGCTTAGAAAAGGAAACTTTCCATTAACGTTTTTCATACCGCTTTGAAACTTTATGAGAATTTCCTGCCCACCTAACTTGTCAGAGGACCCTTAACTTACTGTTGTTGAAAAAAAATCCCAATTTTATTTTCATTTTTTTTTCATTTTCAAATTACGTCCATATTCGGCCATACGGGCAAACGGCCAAAAGCGACGTTCTTTTTAAGAGGACAGGTTGCACGTTGTGTTTACATCTTTGCGAGTTCACTGTTTCCAGCATTGTCCTGTGGTGACTTGCAACTCTCTCTTCTCTGTGTTTTTCATGGTAGAGAGTTTGTGAGAGTTTTGCGCTACATTTTCTGGAACTCAGCTTTCCAACTGATCTGTACCCATGTTAGTGCCAGTAGTTTCCTTGTAGATCTTATTTTATTTTGGGGGATGGGGCTTTTGGTGCTTTGCATCGAATCCCCTGCCACACTTTGAAGCTTTTTTGGGATCGTTGTTTGCCTTTGGTCATCTACCTCCACACACCAGCCACACCAGGGTTGGCCACACCAGGGGTCACATCAGTTTTGGTTGAGGTTTTGTGGGTTGCAGTTGTTCTATAGTTCATGGCGCCATTGTTCTTCATTCGGGCTGGAGTTTTGTATGTTTTTCACTCCAGGGTTGTTACTTTTCAATCGAGAAGACTTTTGAGATTGCGCAAAGGCCCGAGGTGGACGGTTGTGTTACATTTTGTCTTTCTTCGGTTCCAAGAAATTACCTATGTGTAGTTAGAGGGTGAATGGTGTCACATCTTCCTGTCATATGCCACTTTGAAACTATTGATTGTTTTAGCATCCACTACCTCACATGTTCCAGCTGCCAATCACTGTTTTCAACAGAAAACTTCGTAATATTTTTTCTGCACCTTTGTTTCCATAGCTTGAATCAATGTTCTCTTTGTTCTTGAAGTTGCAAGTTTCAAGACTTTCTGTTCGTAAGTTATGTTGATTTCTGTTTCTAATTGTATTTAGTGATCATAATGTTTCTTCCTACGATCTTAAAGCTTAGTCATTTAACACCTCAAGTCTCTCATCATAGCTCTTGTTTTTCAGTTCTGGAACCCATTTAGTTGCATGAGGTTTGCATCTTTTTAAGTTTATTGAAGTGCTTCTTTATATATGGGCACCAAATAACTGCTGCATATTCCACTTATGGAGTGAAAACAGCTTATTTAATATTTAAATGTCCATGTACAATATTTATAAACAAATCTAAAGTTGAAAAGGTGTTCTCCTTACACAATGTCCTTTTTATTGTAAGGCTCATCATTGGAAGCTGTACCCTACCATGCGGTTACCTTGCAGTTACCTTGTGATGATTTCGAGGCTTAACTTCCCCGCGGCATTCCTCTTTGTACCTTAGAACACAAACAACAAACCCGTTCTGACTTATAAACAATGGTAGGGATATCTTGATATATTCGACATAAACATAATCGAAAGCAAGAACTCTTATTCAACATGGGACAAGAAATAAATCTTGGGGTACAACTTCACAGTGGGTTTTTATTGAACAACACAGGATATTTTACGCTGAGTAAATATGGGGGCACACTGTCATGTACTAGGGTTGTGGAAATACAGAGGGATACTTCTCAGCAAACATAAATATTAGGATTAAAAAGACTATCGGATCCACACCAACTGGGACTTAATGTCGCCACAATACTCTACCCTTCCTCAGTTATTACGAAGGTGATAAGGGTTTTAACAATACAAGGTTCTGACACTTCAACACTTTACAAATGGGAGACAAATTATATGTGATAAGACTACGTGTTACAGAAAGCTGAGTGAATGAATCAAAACCACAAAACACCAGACACACAGGGTTCCATAAATAAACTTAGTTTTAAAACTGACAATACTAACACAGGGACTGAGCACTACTATAGCACATATGAGATATAAATGCACTGATCATTATTGTAGGAGACCGCCACACAAACGACGACCAGACAATTCTCCAACCCTGCCCAAACCCAAGTGAACGAGACAGCTAGTACATCTGTCTCCAACCGCCAGGTTCCAATAATGTTTCATAAACATTTATATCTCCCAATAGTTCATTGATATGTCTTATAAAGTTCCAAGCTGTTTTTCAACATTCAACACAGTTGTTTCTATATATTTTGCACCACTGGATAAATTTTTAAACATGTATTTTCTTTTCTGTTTACACTGATCTGGGATGACACTTTCCTGCTATGACAATGCTATGTGCCCGTGCAGAACTTACTATGTACTTGCAAGGATTCCAAAAGGAAGAGTTCCAGACTGTTGTTCAACATTTATCACTGCTCCTTGTATGTCTCTCGCCTGGGGAATACACTTCACAAGGGGTCTCTCACACAAGGGGACCGATCGGAACCTCATATTAGAAGAGTACATTTTTTTAAATAAAATTCAAAATATAGGAAATGTTCAACACGTAACAAAAGTTTTGCTAAAAGTAATCAGGTATACATAATGAGTGTTGAGTGTACACAATTTCAATGTATTTTTTAAGGGGATTTTGTAATGTTAACAGTTTCCAAGGGTCAGGTCCAGTTAAGGATTAACAGGGTGAAAGTATATACCAATCATGTGAGTGACAGTTTCCCCCCCCCATTATCGCTCTGTGGACTGTAGTGGACCCCATACCTCTCCTGTTACCAATAAAAAAAAGTTTTAATTATTTTCTACTACAGACGTGGCCACACATTTACAATACTAACCAGCATAAATACATTTTCTTCTGTCCTCCATGAACAGGGTTAGGAATCTGTTAAACATATATTTAAGTGATTTATTGAACAATCTGGGCTGATTGTAGTGCTTTTAAAATGCTAATCTAACCTACAAACATAAATACACATATTTACATCTGTTCTACATAAACAGTGTTCGACGTGTCTTTTTTACATAGTGTCAATATTGTGTATTTACAAAGGTCATTAATGCAACATTTTCTGGGATGTGGAGTTTTCAGTTATATATATATATATATATATATATATATATATATATATATATATATATATATATATATATATATATATATATATATATATATATATATATATATATATATATATATATATATATATATATATATATATATATATATATATATATATATATATGTGTATATATATGATATATATATATATATATATATATATATATATATATATATATATATAATATATATATGGATATATATATATATATATATTTGATGGTTACAAGATATACATGGGTTGATACAAAAATAATAATGCAAAAAGGTGCTTAAAGGTTATGGATCTCTTGAAAAACACAACAATGGGAAACATTGATGAATGTCACAGACGGGTTCGATCATTGTTGCAAGTCAAACACTTCTTCGAATTCCTCTGAAGTTGGACTAGTGCCCAAGACGCAACAGGCATTTCCCCTCTGAATCGCAACACTGAGGCGCTGGAACAAGAAACTTTTTGCTCTCTGGTCTTTTGTAGCGCTGATCAATTTGTCCCCCAATTCCTTCAGGAACTTCAATGCACATTTTCCCCATGAACCGAGGGTCTCCGAGCCGATCGGAACAAAGCTGTAGCAGTGTGCTAGACCTCTGTATTTAATAATTTTCTGCGATTCCCTGAAAGAAGCAGCACCACCGCTTTCACGTGTGCTGTAGTGGAGGTAGGTACTGGCCAGTGTGGCAGCGCACGTGTAGTCCCATACCACTTGCTTACCATCCTTCCAAGGTAGCAAGGTGACCCCATCAGGGCGCTTCTGAGGGTCGTTAGGTCTGGATAAGTGTGGTTCTCTTTGTGCCGGGCAGCGGGCTGTGGCGAGGCTCCTCTTGATGATGTCGTTGACTTCTTCATGTCTTGCAATTTTACCCTGTGATTTACGACATACCAGGCCATGACGGCCATATTGGTCTGCCATCGCAGTTCCGCAGATGCACCTATGTTCGGTGAGGATGGGGGCGGCAAGGCGAAGGGCAACTCCAATGCGGGGAGCGTCATGACTGAGGCGAGTTCCCAGGGCTGCATTGGGCACAGCAAATAAAAAATCCCAGGCGTGGGGTGCTGTTACCGCTAGGAGGCGGGCTTTGTTTTCAGCATCAGCGTTGTCAATCATTGCTGTGACAGTCTTTTCCATTATGGGGCTATCCCAGTGGGCCTGCTTGTGGTCTTTTGGGACTTGTGGTCGGGGTTGAGGGTGTGCAATGGTGTCCCATTGTCTGGCTGCTTCGATGAACGTTTGATCATGAGTTCCCGATATATATATATATATATATATATATATATATATATATATATATATATATATATATATATATATGTATATATATGTTAGTATATTTTGGTAGCAGTCTTTCCTGTAGACATATATTATTAAATATGACCGAAAAAGTAAGATTAATAATTCTAACACGAATTTTCTCAATCTTTCGTACATTACACTTCACTGTTGGAGGTAAATCAAAAATCACTTCTCCAAAATTCATTTTTTATTTCTAGTCTGACGCGACACGGGCGCGTTTCGTAAAACTTATTACATTTTCAAAGACTTCACAAATACACAACTGATATAACTTACGTCTCTC